ACAGCTTGGACTTGTAGAGATCCACCTGTTCCAACCTCCCCAGTGCTGGGATTATAGGAGTGCACCACCACATCTGGTTTTGGTAGCCAGCAGGGCATGTGGTACCAGGGATGGACCCGGGTCCTTGTGCTTCCCAGGCAGAGGCTTAGACCACTGAGCTATCTTCCCAGCCCCTCTGAATTTTTTATGTAGTTTAATTTAATGTAATCCTCCCAATAACTTTATGTCAAAAAAATGTTATGCTCTGTAGGGAGGTGAATAGAGTCCCCCAGAAAATTTTTCCTTCTCATAACATTATGTAACTTTACTTGAACATAGTATCATTGCAGATATAATTAATTCAGGTAATAGCAGGTTATACAGGCATAAGTGGGAGGTGGCCCTTAGTTCAACATGAACAATGTCTTTAGAAGAAATGGAAATAGACACAAGACATATACCTCATGAACACAAAGGCAGAGATGAGAGGTTTCTCCAAGCAGGACAGCTACAGATTGCAGACAGCTGCAAAAGGTGTAAGAGCCTTGGGCAGATCTTACTCCAAGAAGGAGTAAGATCTCTTTGTATTCTGACACTCCAAAATCAGAACAGAATAGATTTTTTATGTAATCAACTACCCAGATTATGTAATTTCTTACAGTAGCCCTATCAAACAAGACCTGATGGTTTGCTAATGCACAGTGCTGCCTGCTATTATGCCAGTACAGCTGTACATGTATCTATACTGATGTAAAGTAGTTTGGTGTCAAAGGGTATAATAACAACAGTTCAAGTAACTGACACTTGAATTACAAGAAGTTGCTTGGCTAGGTTATTGAAAGAAAACAAGAAGTAAGATCTGTAACTGCAAACATAGACTTTGTAAGACATTAATGAATCACAAAGAGAAAAAAAACAATAATACCTAAGGAACTCACTTTACTCTGTGCACCTGAGGAACTTTTGTCTGGAATATTTTTCAGTCTCCTTCTCCTCCTAAAACACATATTTAAAAGAGAATGTTAAGACACTGCTTAGTATCAGTGCAACATCCAGCATTAGTATCAGTGCAACAACTTTGATACCTCTGAGTTCCCAGCCCACCTGCGCTTACTAAACCTGTGGATGTGACTGCCTGACTGTCTGTGGCAGACTCCTGCACATGTGACTAGTACCCCACTGATGCAAACTTCTTTTCCCTCTCCCTACTTGCTCCACTGTGCCCACAGCTATATATATATGTTTTGTAATGGGTTATTACAGAAATGGATTATAGTATTTTCTAAATAACCTAGGGCTACATTAGAGAAAAAGGAGGGCTGCAAGGAAAGCCAACATTTTGGCCCTAGCCTTCCAAGATCAATTAAGACTCAGGACATATGAGAACCTGTACTGTAGCATCATGTAACTCAGTAGTGTCCCAAATTTTCTGATCAAGGAGATTATGGGGGAAAAGAGGAAAGTGATCGATGATGTAGAGTGTGCCTAAGGAGGGTCACATGGAGAGAAAACATTCTCTCAAGCTTTCACAAAGAGCACATTGAACAAGCAATGGCTGTGACTCATCCACATGGCTGACACTGACAAAGGTTTTACAATCTGAGGTACAGGATC